AATAAAATAAAATAAAATAAAATAAAATCTAGTACAAACCTTGATCTCATTGCACAAAGTTGGGGAAGAATCTTCTTGTTAAATATTTATCAGTGTTCAAGCCATCTTTGAATCCTTTCTTCAAAGAGAAGCAAGCCTTTGCAGCGTTCAGCCTTTCCCAATTCTTGCGAAAATAAGGTCAGTATGTTGAGATTTGCTAGCTGCTACTGAATGTCAACTTTTATTTTGGATATTTATGGATCTTCCAGATGAAGCAAAATTTATCTGCTTTGTGATGCGTACTGCCTAAGACTTGTAAAATTAAAACACTGAAGTTTCCTAACTCCAAAGAAGTTACATCACAATAATTTACAAAAATACTATTAAATCCACTTGTATTTCCTAATGGTTCAGAGCACAGCCCTCCACCTGCAGCCTTTATGTAGAAACAACAGTAATTTCACAGACTCCTTTCTTTTGATGGCCATGTAGTAATCTCATTAGCAGAAAGACATTTAAATAAGGTTTTGTTTTATGGGATAATACCCAAGGAAACAAGAGAAAGGTGAAGCCTCTTGTTTACCTTTGTCTTCATGCTCTTCTGTCGCTTCCCAAATATGCAGGACAGATCATCTTCACTGCGCGAAGAGAGATCCTTACCTGAAAGGGGTAAAGGGAGAAAAAAAACATCTCAATCTTCACATCTGGTGATTACAGGTACATTTTGATAAGAAAAACTGTAACCCATGGAGCTGGAGAAACTGGTTTTGGAGGTGAAAAGAAATCAGGAGGAGAACATTAAAGACACTAAACAAAGGCTGACCATAGCTCCCACATATGGTTGGAAACGCGTGTGCATAGAGGGAAAGGCTGGTGAGGGGACAACCACAGCCTGCTGGTGTATGCCCACAGGGAAACATAAACCAGCAGCTTGTTTTCCCCACCTGACACTGCAGTTGTCACAGGAAGATGAGGGAAGCCACCTGCACTACGCTGAATGGAAAGAAGAGTTGTAACCTCCTACACACAAGAAAAATTTGAGGAGAAACTGCTCATCTTTAGATTCTCCTAAGAATGCAACATCTCTGACAGTTAAGAAGTTATAGCTCCTCCATACAGTGAAAAAAAGAATATCTGTCTTTACTCAGCGGTAGTTTTTCTTTGATTAATGAAATTGCTTCTGAAAAGCAAAACCTTCATCTCTGTGACACACTGGATTATTTCAACTTAAAACAATTTCAAGGGTGAAGCAAAGATTTCCCTGAGTTCCAGCAGGACCACTATTGCCATCTGACTGTTGTGTGGCTAGCTGAATATCAGGCATGGAGCAGGAAGGGGGAAGTAAAGGGGTGTGATGTGATATTCTGAGATATCAGTAAAAGTTTAGCCAATTTCATAGTGCAGAAGACTTTATATTGAGTTGTCCACAGCTTGTCTCAGAAAATTATTTAAAAACAACTCAGCAAAAGTTAAAGAAACAAAATCAGTTCAGATAGGTCAAGTGATAGCACTCAGGAGCATGCAGGCGTCTTATCTTACTCCACCCAACTGTTTGAGTTCAAAATCACTGACCTCAAAATGAAACTAAATACTTGTAACGGATAAAAAAAAAAAAAAAAATCTGACTATTCCACCTGTTTCTTCTTTTCAGGATCCTTAACGGCCCACAGAGGGTAAGCATCAACCTAGAGAAGAAAGCGTTACCTAACTTTCTGGTGTCTCACTGTGCAGCCTCTAGACGTCTTTTCCCAAGCAATGCGGATGAGATTGGTGGCTGTTTCCAGCTTTATCTTGGCCAAGGCTTGGAACATGAGATTCCTGCTGTTCCTCCTCTCACCCTGTGCTTTCTTTCCATGTCTTCCCCCCACAAACGTATCCTCCCTTTTCTTCCGTTTTCTAATAGAAAATCAACTTAGCTGGCATTCTAAATCTTTTGCAGCATCACAGTGGAACAGCTACTAGAAAAGCAATTGAAATCACTGTCTTAATCTCATATGGGTGTGTATTTCCCAGATCCAAGCATGGCTGCTAAGGCTATGCATGGTGCCTATGTTCCTCCAGCAGCGAGGCTACAAAATAGCACCAGAAACAGAAGCTGCATTTTCTATCGTTGCTGCTCCCTTCTCCCGCTTTTGTGTGAGCTCGCCTTGTTTAGTCTAAAAGGAAGCAGGACTGGACTCAAACAACGAGGGCCACAACAACATTAGCCTTTCTCAAATAACTTTTTCCCTGAAAAAGGACAATTTCCCTGTTTTAGATCACAGAGGGTACAATCAAACAGGGACCTACCTTATAGAAATACTGCAGCCAAACAAATAAGGTATATTGTTAATATGAAAGCCTTGCTCCATATTTTACATACTCTTTTTTTCTCTATACTTAGTAAAAGGTTAAATCCAAATCAAAATAAATCCTCTTTGGTACTACCTCATACAGGCCTTGGCCTCTGTACTTCAAGCCCTGTACCAATTTAATCATTTAATGTCATAAAGCGGGCAGGGTCATGTTAACGCGTTTGACTTCCAAGCTGAATTATTTAATTAAAAAACCTGAACCCCAGTATCAGAATTTGGCCACTAATCAGACGTCAATTACTTCTGTTTTAGCAGAGGCATTTGTTATCAGAAAACATCAAACAGACCTTTAACTACAATAAATCAGCCATTCGTGGAAGCTGACTCTATCCATACACTGAAACACACATGTACACACACCATGTGCTCATGGGTGTGCAAAAGGGAACGCAACCAACAGAGAAACAGAGTATGGGATCGAACAACATCCAAGTGCCAAAAACAGGGATGGCTGAAATAACGTCATCACTCTAAGAAATTACTAAACTCCACGAGTCCTTGAATATAGTTTCTGTGGCCACCCACTGCTGTCCTAATTTATCCAATAAAGCATCTGATAGATGTAAGAGGGCTTTCCTCTTCCTGCATTCAGGTTTAATCTCATCACTGATCTTATCCACATGATCTCTTAGCAGAGGTTATCAGAGATCGCAGAGGATAGCGCGCTGCAGATGCCCAAGTAACTGTTATCACCTTTGCCTCCCCCTCTCAGCCCCTGCCCACGCACAGATCACTCAGAATACTCACAGTTCCTTTATTCAGCTGATGGTTCCTTCAGACAGAGATTGTTTTATTCAACAATATCAGCCTGAAGCCATTCAAAATTGTCCAAAACAAAGAGGAACAGCGTATTATAGCTTTAAGTAAGTTGCTGTAGGGGGTATTTCTAAATCAAGATTTTACTTGCCAAATTTAGACCCCGGAAGGCAACACATCATCTTGACATGTTGTGGGTTTTTTTTTCTAATCTTGGCTAGAGCTTATGAAACAACAAAACTCCTCTTACCTTTTGCAAACTTCATATAATGGACACGTTTCTTGGAAGATTTGGATTTTTCTTCGAGGCTGAATGTCTTCTGATTATTCACTGAAGACTCTAAAAAAAACCAACCAAACAGGTTTCAGCTCTATTAGAGGAATTCTAACCACCAAGTTCAAACATCAGCGTATTTAACTTTCTCTTTCAAGACCAAGTCTCAACAACATATCACAACATATTACTGAAGGAAGCATGGTTAAGTTTTGTCCGAGACATGTTACTGCTTGATTTTCTTTGCCACATCCTCTTCCTTTCCCATTTCCAATCTAAGATAATTTGAAAAGGCAGATCCAGGTACTCCAGGTCAAAGGCAAAGTCTAACCTAACACCATTTCTACAGTAAGAAAAGAAAAACAGGTCAGGGTTTATTGTGCTGTTCATTACAAATTACCTCCAGTGCCGGAGTCTGAGAAAGATTTAAGAAATACTACAAAATAAAATACTCAACCTGAATGGGTAGAAAGAAAAAGGGGGAAAAAAAACATCACACAGACAGGCTTTCCACTTCTAACACTACATGACGCGCCTCTTAGCCAGATGTAGTCTGATACGTCAGTGTAAAGAAATTAAATGGTGGCAGAGCTTTTCTGTCCCTGAGGCCAGCTAGAATAAATAGTCATATCCATATTATTTAATATTCCTAGCTTCCAGAATAGAGACTGCATCTAAACTGTCCACTGGGAATGATCTCTGGGGTCAGCTGAGTCCCATATTCACTCAGGAGCTGCTTGGAAGAATGTTAGCTTGTGCAGATCTAAATCATGTGAAGGATTAGTCTAACTATGTAACAGTAATTAAATACAAGTTCCTGTGCTGTGGCAGGTTATTTTACTGGTACAGATGTATTCTTTGCATCCAAAAAGCCTGTTAATTTACAAGAAATTCTCAGGAGGTAACCTGCTGTCCAGTTAATAACCACTTTATTGGTTCTGTCCTGAAAGGAAACAGGAACTATGGGATTCTCTGCTCTGTAACTCTAGAAAAGGCCACTCTGGTGAGATGTCTTTTTTCCTTTCAGTGGCAAGTGGGATGGCTAGAGAAACCAATTCATACCCCGAGGGCCAATCTGAGTCACTTTTTTCATACGATCCCACTCCTGAATGCTCTGTAAACCAAGCTTTTCTGACAGTGGAATTACAGCACTTTGCTGTTTGATAAGTAGTGACACCTGATGATAGAGTCATTGACCTAAAAATGAAATCTCCAGCTTGCAGTGGGAGAGCTGACTACCAGAAAGCAGTCCGAGACCTACTCTTCCATTTACACGCTAAGCCCTAACAAGAAGAGGAAGGACTAGCAAACCCCGTTTCAGACAGAGTTTGCAGTCAACTTGAAAATTCTCAATAAAAAGGGTCTATGGGGAAAGTAAATGTCACAACCAAAATATCCTGACCAGAGATGAGGCACTTTGAGTCTGCTCTCCGATCCATTTGTACCGAAGGGAACGTCACACAGCAAAGGATTTCCACAGGGTTTCCTCCTCCACTTAATCCTTACAACGATAGGGGCAGCAGCACCGCCTCGTGCTTTCCAGGAGGAATGTCACTATCGAAACCTGCTGGCACTTGCAATGGACATCCCTGTGTCTTCTAGTGACCAGTAAATCCCCTGACAAACTGAGCGAATACTGCAGGAATATTAATGTGCTTTTTAAAGCAATTTAGTCATTAGAAATAAAACCATGTGTCATTTCTATAGCAAATCGGATACAGATCAATATTCCAAAGCGCATTACAGACACAGCCAGCCTCATTTTGCAAATGGGAAAGGGACACAGCCACCATCACTTAGTATCACAGCAAGAGAGTCAGGAATCAAAACTCCTCACTAGGTGCTCAGCTAGAAAAAAAAAAGAAAAGAAAGCTAAAACTATGTACATAGAGGGTATCTGAAAGTTGGCATACTAACAAGTACAGGGCCCTTCCTTCCCGATCTCTAATTGCAATCCAACTCTGGCAACTACAGCAGTTATTTAAGAACAATGAAGTTTTTCAGCTGACTTTTAATGCAATTTGAAACTGGATGATAGCCAATAACGTAACATTTGATCCTGTAGCACAGCTGCAGGCAAAGTTATCTAGATGGGTTCTGCCAGCTTAAACAATTGCTAAAAAAACAAGTTTCAGAGCAATGATTGCAGTCCGCAAATCACCAAACGCAATTCTGACCAGGAATTTTCAATGCGCACTTAAATTTGTCCTCAGTGGTTGAAAACTCTTGTCCTAGCTCCTAAAAAGAGCAAGGAAAAATAACTGAATAAAACAGGGAGAAAGACGCTTTTCGGTGGCCACTTTGCCTAAGCACAGATGACCCAGGGAATGCTGCAGACTTAGCAACAAGACAGCCTTGTTCAATGAACCTGCCTCTCTGCTGACTCACTGTGTCCCGGGGCAAGTCATTTCAGCTCTCCGCTCATTAGCTTGCAGGTTTCCCACCAGTTACACCTAACTGATCTTCCCATGGCTCAAGTTGGAACTTGGGAAGGATTCAGTTATAAAGGTAGAAAGGAACTTCTGGAATTTCCCTATGATACGCTATTCTACCTCTCGAGGACTTTAACTACAGTTCCTAGCACTGTGTGGCCTCAAACCATGGTTTGGTTAGGGCTCCAACACACAAGGATAACTTACACAGGAATTAAAAAAACTGCACCAGGTTCACAATTTTAATCTTAGTTCTCTAAGATGAGAAGGCAAGTTTGATCCTTCTTGCTCACTGATTTTCCTCCTCTTTCTACCTTTCCTCTCCTAGAAAGCCTTCTGTGCTCAAATGTGAAGAATGAATGAACTAACAGTTGCTAAATTCACTCAGCTGGCAATTCAGCCACTAGCAGCACAGCAGGTTGCTGTGTCCAAACAGAAGCCCTTGGTTTAACAACACTCCACAGACAGTTGTTTAGATATACGATCAGAGTTTAAACTTGAGTCTAACTAAAGGAGAGATGATAAACCATTTGACGTATACAATTCTTTCTGTAAGCTCACACCCACCAGTTTTGTATAACTTTATTTTTACAAACCAAGGTCAGACTGTACACAGCTTTTCAAAATTACAAGACTTTATAAATAGCCCTTTTGGGAAAGTTGTGTAGCTTCCACACTTGTCTGCTCTACATCAGGGCTACAAAAATCACATTATACCACACTCAAAACAGAGATGCATAACTCTGAGTCAAAAGTTAAGAAGCAGCTCTCTGAGGACAGGAAAAGTAGGTATTTAAGAAATCACCAGAGCATGGAAGCCAGGCGTGACAGTTCATTAGTAAAAGGAAGGCAAACACATTGCAATAGTGGTTGTGTTGTGAACCTTCATGCTGGCTCTGGTTGTTTCACAAAGAAACAAGTGCTGCTGTAGTACATCCCAGCAAAAGGTCCACCATGTTGTGGCCTGGGACAAAATAAACAGGTTCAAAATTTGGTGTTTGCTTTCCCCAACAAAAAGCCTTTAACAGAGGCCTGACCGAGAGCAAAACCGATCCACTAACACCTACATAACCAGGCAGACAAACTTGAGCATGGCCATAGATGGCAACATGTCTTTCAGCTCTCACTGATTTTGAGGGAGAAGGGGGAGTTGTCACCCTCAGCAAGGAGACTATCAGCAGCCCAAAGGACTGGGCCTCAGCTAGCCTTTTAAGACAGAGAATGGAAACTCTGCTAAGCTTCCAGCATCTGATCGTGCAAAGCATGAACCTACCTGTTTCACCCTGTCCATGGCAATCATTCAGTTCAGCCAGAAGCTGGTTGAAGTCATCCTGATGAGCAATCCAGTTGTCCTGTAAATATCATCCACGTGAATAAAAGGCAAAAGTCTTCAGAACTACCAGAAGTTTTGCTAAAACAGATATTATGACTCTGCACTCTAAGAAGTAACTTAATTATATATACTCAATCCTTGTTGTTGCGAGGGACACTCGGAAGCTCCACAGGTGGCAACGCAAACGACAGCTCTCTACAGCTGCTCCAAAGTGCAGAAATGATAAGGTTTGCGTTTGTAAGTCCTTAAACAATACCAAGCTGCTGCTGGCTCTGCGTGTCCCCCGTCTGCGCAAGATGTTTTCAAAAGTAGGCAGGAAATACTAGTGTGATTTCTTCCAGCAACAAAGTTACTTAAGATGTTGATTATGAGACAAGCACCTTTAGGATCATGTTCTGCTCTGCCTATGTACTTGAACTCCGGTCAGAAAGGTGACTGTACTGGGAAGATGGAGAAGGCAGAAAAGCTAAGCAGGGCAGAAGACACCAGGAGAAAACAACTATTTCAGTGATTTGCTTGGAAGCAAAAAAGTCTCTGAACAGCCTGCTCCCAGAATTCAGTGTAATCTTTCCAAGCAGATACTTACTCCTAAAACACTCAAAAAAGCAGAACTAAACTCCAGGTCAAGAGTTTCTGTAGAGACATTCACATAGGTACATGCTACCACCAGATGTGACAACAGATTTCAGTAACGTCTCATTACAAAGATTGTGCTTTAGCTGAACAGGGAGCCATTTCCTTACCTGGGTCTAGTGCTCACCTCGTAATTGATGGTTGCTCCTAACCCCAGCGTGTTGTTTTTCACCTGAACCTTGATATGTTCTGTGTTTCCTTGTTCCTGAGCCCCAAGACCCTAAGGAGGATTTAAGGGCAAAAACGTAAAGATTTTATAGCAGTGATTAAGCAACTACAGCTTTTGTTCTGTAAGACAGTTTGCAATGAAATATAGCAAGAAACCAAAACTTACTACTTATTTGCTTGCCTGTAACTGAATTCATTCATAGGCATTAGCACACATGAGATATTAAGTTTTTTTAATTTACTACTTAAGCCTCCAGCAAAGTAGACACTAAAATAGCAACAACATTAAGTAGTTGGGTGATTAATCAGGAAGCCACCTGACATTCCTAGGCAAGTCCAAAGTGTTTACAATTTTAAAACAAGACACTACATAAAAAGAACATGCCTCTCACCAAAAATACCTCCGTCATTGGGAAGGCAGCTGCGTGACTACTGTAAGACAGATGCCACACAGAATGTACAACACAGAACAAAGTTATATGGGAGGGAAGTGAGGGAGGGTGGGGGGAGGATCAAACTGGAGCTAGAGGATATTAAGAACTTCTTCCATCTTATTCAGACTCATAATTTGACAAAGATATTGGAGCAAAGAAACGTTGGGTTTGTCTGTCCTAAAAATCATAATCATTCAAATCTGGGAAGCAATCTTTAGGCCCAGAATTATCCTTAATTGTAAGATCACGGGAGGGAGGAGAAGACAAAGCACTTAGTTTAAAACTATAATCCTGGTATCTTATCTACCTGCTTTTTCCTAATCTATCAGCAGCAACAACTCATCAGCTAAGTGTGTGACAATAATAAACATGTATGTGGTGGAGTAGTAGAGAGGAGCTCTGTGGATAGATCCTGGACATAGCTAATAATTGAAGCAATGAGGCATATTTGAAAAAGGCTGTTGCAATTCCGCATCCAGTAGAGTTTATTTGGTCTGGGGTGGAAACTTCTGCTAACCAGAAAGTATGGAAGCGAGCAGGACACTTGCTTAGGCATCCTGCTGTGACCCAATTCCAATACAACTAATAACAAGACTAGCGTAAGCAGATTAAATTCACTGCACAGATGGGCTTTTGCCCATTAATTTGATCAAGCTCAGGTTCCATTCGTCTGAGTCTGTAGTGGAACGGAGACATAAACTCTTCTCGTACAGCTATAACTGTTGTAAAGGAAGATCCAGCAGCTCAAGTAGGAAACTTATTGCTGTGAAGAAGATGGGGAGAAGACAGACAGAAAACATGAGACCTTCCTTTCACACCCTGATACAAACAGTGTTTGTAACGGCAAAGGTGTTATCTATGATCAGAGGAGCTTGCTGCCTAAAATACAATCAGAACGTTTAACAGCATTTTTTCTACTCTGGTTTACATATCTATTTTAATCTTACACACATAAAACACCTATGCACACAATTTACACAAGACAGTACTCCAGCTCCGTACTTTTAACAGTCTGGTCTAAAGCCCAGTGAAACCAATGCCAGTTCCTTGAGTTCAGCAGCCTTTGAATCAGCAACGACTGCTTGTTCGTGAACTAAAGGCAGTCAGAAGCCAGATTTATATGTGCTAACTGTAAGTCAAGCAATGCAACAGAAAGCCATACTGAGAAATCCAAGAGTAGGCTTATTTTTCTAAGTTTTAACGCGTTCACAGGATTAAGATTGTTCTAATTTTATTCCTCGTAAAAAAAAAAAAAAAGGCTGGGAAAGGAAATCTAGGAAAAGAATTAAATAAATATTGTGGGAGGTTTGCATGAACTCATTTTATTAAACACATTGACACGTAGGCCCAAATCTCAGCTTTGCTGAGGCACCTTTGTGGAAGTTAAACTGCTTTTAAGGAGCAGCTGAGAAGTCTGCAGCTGTCTGCACTGACCTAGAGACTATTCTTAGAGCCAGAAATCAGTCACCTCACCCCACAGGTATAGGTTGGAGTTGAGAAGGAATACAGCTCACATAACACTGCATCAGGGTCTACAGCACAAGTCTTACGAGGAGCGGCTGAGGGAACTGGGGTTGTTTAGCCTGGAAAAAAGGAGCCTCAGAGATCTCATTGCTCTCTTCAACCACCTGAAAGAAGGTTGTAGTGAGGTGGGGGTCGGTCTCCTCTCCCAAGTAACAAGCGACAGGACAAGAGGAAACAGTCTCAAGTTGCCCCAGGGGAGGTTTATGTTGGATATTATGAAAAATTTCTTCACCAAAAGGGCTGTCAAGGACTGGAACAGGCTGCCCAGGAAATTGGTGGAGTCATCATCCCTGGAGGTACTTAAAAGACATGTAGATGTGGTGCTTAGGGACACGGTTTAGTGGTGGACTTGTCAGTGTTAGGTTAATGGTAGGACTTGATTATCTTAAAGATCTCTTCTAACCTAAACGATTCTATGATTTTGGCCATTCAAGGAATAAATAGATCAGAAGTAACCTTTAAAAACAGGTAAAATATTAAAGCAGGTCCTGGAGTTGCTTTAAATAGTACCAAAAGCCAGTGAGAGAACTGAGGGCATAAAGGCAAGTCAATGCCTTTAACTATCACTTAATTTAACGTGCCAACTCCTGCTTTCGCTTGGCGACACTACCTTGTCAAAGAGAGAAGAGAAAAATTGGAAAGCAAGACAGGCACAAGCAAGCAAGTATCTTTGTAACAAACTGTAGAAATCTAACGTTGCTCCAATACTCTGTACATTTAAGAGAATAAATCAAACAGAAAAATCATGGCTGTTTTAAACACTGTGATCAAGAGTACCCCAGCACTCTTCCACCCTTGAGCTATATAAATCTGCTTTAGATCATACCTTTCCTTTTGACCAGCCCATCTTTTCCAGCATCTTCTGGCCAAACTTAGATTCATCTTTACTCCAAGCACTATTTCGTGGATCCACAGACCATTTCTGCCTTCTACGGGCTACAGCAAGAAGGAAAAATTCAAACAGGCTCTATTTACATTTCCACAGTGTTCTTAGTATTTTATCAATTAAAGAAAGACTCTTTGTTGTGAAAAAAACCCAGAACTTGTGCCAGATCAAACATATTTTGGGGATTTAATTTAATTTAATACAAACCTTACACTGCAAAAAAAAAGTCCAACGAAAATTTTAATTATTAATGTGAAGAATGTCAAAGTAAAATTGCTATGGAAGTTGTCATCCCTAAGGATGGGCTGCAATTCAGGGAAGGCTTTAAGGATTACCACTTAGGTGTACAGGCCTAAATTCCATATTTATTTCAACTCTGGTTTACATCTGGCTTCAAGATGAAATCTATAGGGGATGAGACTTCAGTGCTGGCTTTCCCAGTTCTGGACAATATCCACTGGCCAGTCTTCCTTTTAACCAGAACACAGAAGTTTTAATATTTGCTTTCGTAACAAAAGCCAAGTCAAAAATCAAACACAAGTGACCAGAGAAACTGAATTACAGAACACAAACCAGTGAGATTTCAGCTTTTGGATTTGCCACAAAATGGTTTATTCGGAAACTGAAAAGTCACCGGAAATTATTGCAGGTGTTAAGAGATCCAAACGAGAATCAGGGTTCCTTTGTCCTATGCAGACTACTAAAGAAACTACAGTCCCCCAGGCCCACGAGCGTGCGTTCGCCTCTATCATCAGGAATAGCTTCACTGAAATCAAGGAAGAAAAGCCAGCACAGTTAACCAGCCACTTCAAGTGTGCACCTAAACATACGCAGGAAGACAACTTAAGTAAACAAGACAAACAAAGAACGGGAGACAGGAAGATTACAAACTTCATTAAACACGATGGGAAACAGTGGATCAAAAATGACCGATTAACCCAAGGCCATACAAAGTCAGCGAGAAGCCAAGTCCACGGAGGC